AATTCCTGCCAATCACGTCGTGATCCTTCAAATTTTTCAAAACATTTTTCTATACACTTTTTGGTTTAAGACCCACATATATAATATATATATAGGTCCGTGTATATTCGCTGTTTGCGCGCAAAAAAGTGTACGTAATCATCGTCAGTTCTTACAACAATTCCAACAGCTTTTAACTTTATATCGAGAAGGATCATTGATTTGATCCCTGGCGAAAGTCAGGAATATTTGCTCAAGCGTCGTCTCGCCAACACTGTAGTCCTCGAGAAACAAGGACCACTTCTCTTTCGCCAACTCCATGGTTCTGAATATGAGGTCCCATTTCGTATCTGGATCGCTTATGTAATACTGTATCAGTCCCTGAAAAAGAAAACATATAAGCAATAAAATTCCGTTAATTTATATCGGACAACGTATTCTGTTTTTGAGTAGATCCAACGGAGATTCAACAATTCCGAATCTTTTTTTTGTTTTTTACTCTCATGGCCATATAATTTGGCAACACTGCAGTGATGTTCAACCTACTCTCCGTCGATTTCAATGCATTTTTTCATGGGATCAATCCAACGATCGAAACAGCGCCAAAACAGTGAACACGATTTTTGGCACTGTTTTGAGCGTGAGATTTATTGCATGGAAAATGCATTGAAATCGGCGGAGAGAATGTTGAACCGTACTGAAGCATTGTCAAATAATGGGGCTATATGTAAGCAACAACAAAAAAATAAAACTCTGTTAAATCTAATTCAAAAAGTCTCAAAACTTATGAACCAACTCTCATTTACATAGGAAAATATAATCTTGGTGGGAAACATTTTTGAATTTGAGCACACTGCATATAAAATTTCCAAAAATGGGATTCACTTCCGTTTTTCCACTCCAGGACACAGGCAAAACTAGTTCTGAAAATATCTGGTTTTTCATTTATTTGCTTCTTTGTGAAGAGCACATTTTGTAATTTTTGTATTAATTTAATGGAGAAATCTGTTTTTTATGAAGAACTATTCCTGATACAGGTGGTCCCTTTTTGCAATTTTAACTCCTGCAATTTGAGCATCCCACAATTTGAATGTCAAATTTGCAGGGAGGCTGACTTGAAATTTGACCCTTGCCCCACAATTTGACCTGCTTTGACCACTTTTTTTTGCGTTTTTGTACTGATACTTTTTAAATTTCACAAAGTATCTTGCAATTTGACTGCTTCACAATTTTACCCTAGTTTGGCAATTGAGTACAGTACTTCTTCTAAATACAGTACATATATTTACTCAAGTACACAGCATGTGCTCTCACATAAAACGTGCGCACATTCTTTTTCATTTTCAAAATTTGGCAAAAATATCAAGTTATCACTTTTCAATCTCATATGAAAGAAAGACTTTCAATTGCTGCATTCATTTGTCTCTCTTTCTCATAAAATTCAAGTTCAATGATATTTGATAATGAAGCGCACAATAATGCAGCACATGGACTCATATACGAGGGTTCTAACAAAAGTTCTTGGAGTCAACCACAAGCCATCACTGGAGATGGATGAACATTTTTTTATTGGATTCCTCATCCTTTTTTAAGCTAGAACCAAATTTTTTTTCATCCCTAGACAAAAATTGGAAACTGGGAAATCATCACCAGAAAAAACTCATTCAATTTTTTCCCCAGTTTCCATTTTTGTCTAGGGATGACAAAAAAATTGGTCCTAGGCTAAAAAAAGGATGAGGAATCCAATAAAAAATGTTCATCCACCTCAGGCAATGGCTTGTGGTTGACTCCGAGAACTTTTGTTAGAACCCTTGTACAAGGATTTTCTCTACAATGACTTCCTGCATGTATATAATGAATTTTTCTTAGGGCACATAATAAAGGGCTATCTCCCCATGTATAGTCATACACTGTTCTCTGGAACAAAGTTCACTCTACAAAAATTTTTTTTCCAGACCCTTAAATTATTTGGAATTAGAGAGAGTCCACCTGCTATATGAAAATTTGTAGGAAAACTTTGTATACAGTGAGAACCCAGATGCATACATGATTGGCACATCAAGAGCGTCCCTAAGTTGAGTCTTGTTTTACCATTGACTTGCATTATATCATTTTTAATTGGTGTTTCATGGAAGAAATATTCTTCAGAATTCCATGGAAAAAAATTGTTTGCCACTTGAATTTCATTCAGTGAATCTATATTTTCAACTCAATAAGAACATTTGGAGCACTGAATAGTGTACATCTGTACTGTACATTGAAATTTTGGCATCTAAAAAAATAACATTCAAGTCACAAAGAGAGAAGGAAGTCGCTCTACATGCAAGAGGTAATTTTTTTCTAATTAGCTGAATGGATGGGAAAAATATCCAATAATTTTTCTTCCATAGATCTCCAGGGTTGGAAATATCTGTTCATTGCAATCAAGCCAAATAAAAGTCAATTTTTGTGAAATTTATTGGCAATTTTATCATGCAATGTCTTCATGTCAAGTCAGTGTCCTTGTGTGGGCCCTTTTTTATGCCTTTTTTTATCGAAAAATATTAAAAATAAATTTTAATATGGCGAATTGTCTGCATGTTCAGGTGTCCACTGGGGGGGTCTCACTGTAAGTCTCAGTATTGCATCAATGACGTGCATACCATGTTGTAGTTTCAATCTTTGATAGAAAAGTTCTTGAATGAATAAGGTACTTTATTATTTTTTTTATTGTGGATCGTTGACGGATTGAAGAAGAAGGAGTTGATTATACTGTACCTCGTGATGGTCCCTCAGAGAGCTGCTTGGAATCGATGTTTCGATGAATTCTTTCAGTTTCTGGAATGATTCGCCGTCATCACCATACTTGGGATCCAGTTTAATGAGGATAGAATAGCCTTGGCAGAATTTCTGCTTCAAATACGACACCGGCCCCAGACATCGGAATCTTCCATTGACCATGATGCCGAGCCGATGACACAAGGCCTCACATTCTTCCATGCTGTGAAATAATGAATTTGAAGCATCATCATTATAACAAGTAAATGAAAGATATGCTATTCTATATTCATCAAGTTTTGTAAGTCGATTCCAATAGTCATTTAAAGATGAGATCCATCATCAGCAGAGCTAGGAAAGAAGTAACCCATAGAACACTCTTCTTGCATTCCGATTTTGACAAATTAATTCTTCTACTACACAGCAGCAGACAGGGTTTTAAAAATGAGAAAAGAGAACATAAGAAGTATGGACAGTATGTCACTATACATAAATAAGATATATCCTGTTGTTTCCATCACATGAATCTATTCTTTTCCAATGTCAGCCTGTATACATACCTTGTAGTTTGACAAACAAGACAATATGCTGTCAAAATTTAGCCAAATCTTTCTCACAAACTTTAAATGCTGGGTTGAAAGGACCCATTTAGCAGGAGACATCTGTACAATCTTGCATATTTCTTTAAAAGAGATCAATTTATCAAGCTTTGCTTGTGATATTAAAATTACACTCTCATAGAGAACAGCAATGCATCAATTTCATTCTGCCACCTATATCTTAAAGCCAAGTTTCAGCATCTGCCAAAACTCATCCTTGGATGCTCCTGTACAAATTATAGGTTTCACCCCAACTCCCATAAAAATCAGGAAAACTTATCCATACACCCAATAATTATAAAAATCCTGTAATTCAACCTAGGAAAACGATTGAAACAGAAACTCTGAATCTGAGTAAAATCTCCTCAGGAAAAGTTCTACATCCTAATTGAAGGGATGTTCTCTGAAACCCTTTTTATACTTTGTAAAACCCAATTCAACTTCACTTTGTACTGAGATTTGGCAACAAACGGGACTTGCAAGAGAGTGTATTTGTGGCAAACATTCCAAGGTATCTGCTTATTTGAACTCAGTTGAGAAAATACAAACAACTTTATATAAAAGGGTGCTCAATCACCCTGGTTGATGTAGCCCAACCAAACTAACATGTTTTATTTAACTTCCAACTTCAAAAACCCTTATTCCTGACAACAAGGACAATGAAGTCATCTGTCATTTCTCAACTATAATTTTTGTCACTTTTAAATTTTTGAATTGGTAAGTCAATTCTGATGGAAACTCATATATAAGCCAAGTAAAAACAGAAACTGAATCATCAGTTGTTCAATGTTTGAGCAGTTCCTTCATAGTTGAATGAAGTGTTTTCACAATAAGTTTCAGGACACTTTTCAAAAATCTACTTCACAAGTGAGTTAGAAAATAATCACTCAACATTTTTAAAAATGTCAGGAAATATAGAAAACATCATGATTGAAACAACCTAAAAATTTCAACTTTTAAGCTGTGCGGACAAATTTATAGCACACTGTGACATGAGAGGAGAATTGCCCAAAAAACTGGAAAGTGTTCAATTATCATCAAGCCAAAAATTGAATTTTTTATCTTGAAACATTCCCAGAACCTTAGAACATCACAGACTGAATCAGACAATTTTATTTGCAGTGGTATCCAGTCTAGAAATACCCAAGGCGACCTTCATGTGGGACAATACCCTCGTATATATGTGGCTTCCAGAATTATCAAGACGATCTATCTTTTTTTTTTTAATGAGAGCATATTAAAACTAATTTCCGACCTGTGGGATGTCAAAACAATTGACTGGCCATTATCGATCGCAGCACTCAAAGCCTTCCAAATCCGTCTCCTCGAAACGGGATCCACTCCCGACGTGGGTTCATCAAGAAATAAAACTGATGGATCCGCAGCCATGGCCATGGCAGTGCTCAGCTTTCGCTTGTTACCTCCACTGTAGTTCCCACAAGCCTTCGACCAAAAGTTTTGCAATCCTGTCACCAAAAAGAAAAAAAAGCCAACATCATGACCATACAACTATTTTGCACATTTACGTTATTCAAATACTGTATATATACACCGCAACTCGTATCATCCACTTCTGGCCAATTCAAAGTTTAAAATAAACACATCCAGGTGGGATATCATCGCAAATTTTCGAAAATTCTGCGGCCTGCTGGACATACACAGATGAATCCGTCGTCAATAGTAATCATTCTTTATTTACAACAAGGTTGAGAGACACAAAAGTGCTTTGAATTAATAAACCATCACCATGGAAACAAGCAGTATAAATATATATACTGTACCGTTCATCAAATTTCCCAACGAAAAATATACGTTAAGAGTGATAAACACGAGTATATGGGTAGATCTTATTCCTATCATTTTTATATTTCGTATCAAATGCATGAGTATGTGTCACATATACAACAGCTATTATCCAGAGACGTAACTGCGTTTAGGCCCGTGTACAGGGTGGGCTGAAAAAAAAGTGAACCGATCTTTTGCTTGAGATATAGCTTAGTAGCAAATTTAGCTTTGGCAGAAAGCATCAAATGAAGGCTTGTTCAATTCTCTTTAGATGCAGGGGATCACAAGAGCCATGAAGCAGGCACTCATCAGCAAGCTTGCTTTTGGATTTTGGATTGGATTAACATCACACTGCTCCATTTTTGCTTCTTTTCTTGCCCCAACCTCCTGAATTTTGGGAATCTTTCCACCCTCTTGAAGGCAGCATGAAGTTTCCTTCTTAAACTAGCGGTCCTGCACCCAATTTATCCCTGAAAACAGCTCTGGAAAATAGCAGATTAGTGTAAGGAGTTGCCTGAGAACTTCTTTTTTGAGGAAGTTTTTATTCAAATGGTTCTTATTATGACCATCCCATATGGCACTTGGGACCATAAAACTACACACCATTTGAAAGATATACAGCTAGTGAGACCCCAAGATGCGGACATAATTGGTGCATCAAGAGTGTTCTGATGTTGGAATGTCAAGTCTCATTTTCCCTTAGACTTCAATGCTAACTTATTTAATTGGTTTTCCTTTTTGTAAAAAATTAGAAATAAGTCCTGAAATTGAACAAATTTGTTTCCCTCAACTTCAAGTTGTAGAAAACAACAGTGCATAACAAAATCACATAGAATATGATCTTATGGTATCAAAAGCTCAAAAAGCAAATAACAAGAATAAGTCTTGCTAGAATATGCACAGATGATACAAAAACGTTCTGAAAAAAAGAAGCACAAAATTAGCTGGTTTCTGATTATGAATTAGAGTAAATTTATCATGAAATTTTTTTTTAATTTTTGTTAATATTTCGATTTGTTCAAAAGATATAAAAGTTGAGAAATAAAATGTTTGATTTTTTGGGAAAATGTCATAAAAGTGGCCCTATTATTTGAGCCAACGTCCGGATGTTGGGCATGACTTTTTTGTGTTCTCAAGTGTCTCTAAGTCGATTTTTCCACATGTCGGAGTGTCCGCATATGTCGGGGCCTCACTTCTGTATTTTGAATTGGATACAGTACCAAGTCTTTGTATGAGATGCTTGACGTGACCAGAAATCAAAGGCTCTCGCATTCCACGGAGTCTCGAATACAAGTACAGCATTTCGTCACCCGTCATCACATCGACAAGCGAATCAA